CGCACTGCTCAGTTCAAAGCAAGCTCTACGAGTGGCAACATGGCGTTCCAGCGCCTCGGCGTCACAATGAATCCGCTGTGAAGAACGTCTTCAATGACGCCACAGTATGACCATCGGTCTGCAGATGGTCCGCTGTTGAAATATTCAGCTTGGTGCCCAGCACCCTGAAGATTATAGACCAAAACTTTCCAGTGAGGTGCGGGTCTCTATCAGAGACAACTGACTCCGGGAGTCCATGCTGTCGAAAAACGCAATCCACAAACAGCGTCGCTGTACTCACACCGTCGATAGTGTCCGGCACACTGCAAGATGAGCCATCTTGCTCAAACGGTCCACAATGACCACCAGATTCGTGTTGCCTGCCCATGGACTGCCAACACCCGAAGGGTACCGGCAAACTGGACAGCGGCGCCGCCGCATTCGGAGAGGTGCTGCCCTCTGACACGTCTCACACGTGCGCATATATGTGCTTGTCCACTTGTACAGCTTGGACCAGCAATAGTGGTGCCTCACCGAGCTATACGTCTTCTCACGACCGAGATGGCTACTAAGTGGGGTACCGAGGGCCTTGTAGAGGATACTGCAGAATTTCAATCCTCATCGTGAGGAACCACAATTCGTGGCGTATCCGCTAAAATAGTGCTATATTACAGCAACCCGTTACTCAACGGATATCGGTGTTACCGTGCGTGCAATCGCGCCGACAACGTCTTGTCCAATTTTCCAAATTTCTTGCTTCCAAAAGCCTTTAGCAGCGATATACATACTATGACCCGCGTATGCGGCGCGGATCGCATCTATCACTGACGACGTCACCGTCGTGACATGAGCAAGGTCATACATAGTCCGGTCTGTGTGACAACATATCAGCCAAAACATTCTGCTTTCCTGGCTTAAACTTCACCTCGAAGTTATATTCTGCAAAGAATGAGAGCCACCTGGTCATCCTCTGCGAGATGTGAGGCGACTGAGTCACAGTGCGTAATGACGCATGATCTGTGTGAATCACACACGGCTTTAAGCCAAGCAGGCACACCTTGAACTTGACAAGTGCATACTTCATCCCAAGTAATTCATCGTTGTGGACAGGGTAATTTCTCACCGCAGCGTTAAGCTGGCGAGATTCAAACGCGATCACCCAAACTTGAGGAGCCCTCTAACATCTCCTTGCAGCAGTGCACAGCCGATGGCAAAGTCCGAAGCGTCACAGAGGACAGTAAAAGGACGATCGGGGTCTGGCGACGCCAATTTTTGTGCATAAAGGAGGCTGTCTTTTACACTGCCAAAAGCCTCCCGATGCTCGGGTCCCAACGCCATTCCTTATCAGTTTTAAGGAAATTCGACAATGGCCGTGCCATTTTCGTATAATTTGCGCTAAACTTGAGCAAGTAGTTGGCAAGGCCAAGCCACTTGCGCAAGTCCCGTTCATTCTTCGGAACCGGCAAGTCCACAATGGCCTTGCCCTTAGCGAAATCCGCTCGAAAGTCATGCTTACCAATGAAGCACCCTAAAAAAGGGAATTTCTTCCGCGCCAAAGATGCACTTATCCGCATTAGCATACAGCTTATTCGTGCGTATGCACTCGAGCACAGCTCTCAGATGGACGATGTGGTTTTCCACATCTATCCTTTCGTGCTCCGCACGACTGTGGACGAAGATGTCATCAAAGTATGTTTGTGCATACGTTCCATAGGGCCTAAACAACTGCGTCACAAGACGGTTTAATGTTGCTAGTGCATTTGACTGCCCTTGGCATCAACAGTCAATCCTAGAGCATCTTGCTCGAAGTACTCACCGCTGTCAGCGGAAAATCACTCGCTTAAATAAGCAATTGTTAA